AGTGTTTATTTGATAAGGTCTTTCATTTTCAATATAAAATGAAACTGCATGTAACTGAGCTATGAATTTTTCTGGTTAGCTTAGGTTCATTTTGGCAGGTTTTCTCCATTGTGTAAAGTTAAAATCTGCTAAAATACTTGTTTGACAAACCTGTGTGATAAGTAGTTTTTCTAATACATATAACTGACTATTGTTATTCACATGTACTGAAATTATTATTAGGTGAAATATTAACTTATCACAGAAAGTACTGACTTATCTCTAAACAGAAATATTTCCTTTAAAAATATCTTTAATGTAACATGATTTTTGCCTTACTAATGATCCTGATTGTGCATATTTTTCAGTATTGATAAAATTGCTTATAAACAAATTGTGGTGCATTTTCACTATTTTGACTTTATGTATTTAAAAATTAAGATAATACAGTAGAATCCTTATTTTAATATCCTTGGTTGAGTTACTTAGTTAAAACTTTTTAAAAGAACCCATAGCATCTAAACTATTTAGAGCAATGCTAAAATGAAGCCAAAAATAGTTTATTTGCATAGAAAATTACAAGAGCACCAAGTTTCAGCTTTATATTTTAAGTTTCAAATTATAAGGTGTCAAAATCAACAAAACTATGATTTCAGTTTGACAAGATACTCTAGAAAAAATATGTTTTAACCATAGAAGTTTGTCCATAAAACAAAACTTTTGTTACATGATCTTCAGATATGTAAAAATATGTAGTAAAAAAATAGAAGAAACTGTTTAACTGGTCTGCTGATGCCATGAAAACAGTCAATTTTAAGGATTAAAAAAAGAAAAAACAAACAACAACAAACACACACACAAGCAATTTTCAAACAGTATTGATTGTTTTTTATGGTTTAACTCTCTGCAGGTTATTTAAAGTCCAAAAAGATTTTTAAATTGTAAGAATATTTGAAGATAATGATTTTAATGATACATGTCTTACTACTTAACTCATATTTGGGAGAAGTAGTAGTGAATTCACATCTTTCCCAAGGATATTTGTACATAAATGAATATAATGAATCCAACTGGTATCCAAACTTGGCTCTCCAATTTCCAATTCTGAACTAGTATCCATTAAATCAGATACATCCAAGCTCATAGCATCTGGTATTCCCATTCTGTATATACAATATCCTTGAAGGTCAGAAATTAATGAAAGTCTTATTTAGCAAAATGCAAAAATTGACGTGAAATTTCAAGATGTTCTGATTTTATGACTATTAAATGATACAGATCCAATACTTGGGATTTATCAAATTTGATCAAGAAACATATGAGGATTTTCCTAGGAGGGTCACTTGTGGCTTTTGGTCAAATTGTAATGCAATGACTGTTGTCAAATAATTCTACTTGGTGAATATGCAAGGACTCTGATCTATAAAATTTAATATGAATCTTTCCAAAGATGACTTGGAATTGTGCAATTTAAGAGTGAACCAGTCTTAGTTATTTCTAAGAATCAAGAGTTAATTTCATCAACTGGCATCTCCCTTTTTCATTTTTGGTGAGTTTTAACTAATGGGTTCTCCAGTCTTAGAGTGTTAGTAACCTTTGTTATACTCCAAGCCAAATATCATTGTTTCATGAACCCTTCTCAGTTAGAAACTAGAACAGTCTGCAGATCATCTCAAGGTCACTGACTGGCAGACACAGTGGCAAGCAGAAACATGACAAGCAATTAAGTTTTTTTCAGCAAATTAGAAGGCACTGCAAATCAAGGACACAGATGCCATCTTGATCCACTGAAGCAATAGAAACCCAACACCACATGCCACAAAAAAAGGTGCATTCTCATCTCATCAGTGATTTCAACAGTCAGCTTCTACACTCACAAGAACATATCCCCTTGGAAGATGAGCTGACCTACCGTTTACCACTACTATTCCCAGACTTCCCCATCTGCCCTACTCATGAGTATCATTCTACCATCTTCCCACTCCAACTTTTTGTTCAAACAAACTTCAACCACAAACCACTGAACTCTTTATCAAATGGACTCCCATTTTCTATATTGACTCCTGGTTACCTTTGAGTGTATAACTTCCTTGTTTTTTTTCTCAAAAATATATATTCAACCTTACTCCAATGTTTGTCTTCTTCCTTGCTACCATATGCTTGTTATAACACCTTTAAACAAAATATTCATTTAAAAAAAACAAAAAAACTTTCACTGTTAATAGCAGTCTCTAATATCTTAGATTATTCAAATATTCCAACCTGTTCATTATGACAGTAGTGTTTGTGATCAATGTAACATCAGCAAAAATTTTAGTAACAAATCCACTGCATAAATGTTGGACCCACATACAAAGTAAACAAAACTAAGAACTGTGTATGGAACTTTCAATATAGTCATCATAGAGTATATAAGAGGGGAAACTCAATATGAATTGAAAAAAAAAAAAAAAAACAATCCAAAATTTAAACCATGAAATCAGGCATGGCAGAACATATATGAAGAAAAAAGTGCAAGCATCCACTCTGACTCACTTATTCACTCAAGTCCTGTAAATCCCACTGTGGAGTATGAAGCGATAGCACTCATTACGCTTGGCATTGCTGCCTTGGTTTCTGTCGCAAGTAAGGCTTTATTAGGAGTTGCTAGCCTCATGCCAAACCAGTTTTGACTCCAGAATTGTCGTCCCCCTCGACTGGTTGAAATGCTTTATCCAGTTGACCCACATTGGTTGATCCAGTGACTTAACCCAAGATAGTTGGAGTTCAATACCTGGCTACAGTAAACGTGAACAAAAAACTTTGAGAACCGAGTTAAAGGGAGATAACTAATACAGAGATATCCGCAAGAGGTGTGACAGCTGGAATTAGAACAATCTACCCCAGTGGATGAAATAAAGGATTCTGTTCAATATTCCAATCACCCAAAGAAGGTCAGCGCATACAACAACCGAAATGTTATGAACATGATAAGAAAGATGAGAACAACAGTCCAAACAATATAAATATTGTAAATAATTACAATATCTCATCTCAGAAATATAGACAGATATTAAAGAGCTGAGAAATTACTTTTCTTTTAGATATCCTGTACATACAGCAACACTTTCTAACAGTAAAAAGTTAGCATAAATTAGAATTGCTTGGTTCTACAAACTGAACTGGATTGCTGGCAAATCTTAGTAAAGATAAATAAAAATTTTTTAAAAATTATTAAAAAATAGTCAAATGTATCATAAACAAGATGGCTACAAATAATTCATTGAATAATGAGAAGACATGATTTGGAAACTTTAGACAACGACAATTGTCATTTTCTTTTTCATAAGGTATTTCAAGATTCAATGGACTTGGATTTATTTTGAAAACAACAAAGTCTCAAAACCTTAATTTAAACCTGTAATTAAAATTGATCATGTTCAACAAGAGTCTTGAATTTTCTTTGCAAAATAGTGATATTAAAACAGTAGGCAATGATTTTTTAATGTCATGAATCATACACAACCTTTTATTGTTTAATGCTATCAAAAAGATAAAGAAATGCAGTATGAAGCCAATTAAGGCAAAATTTAGTTTTTGTTTGGATGATTTCATATTGGAATAACCTCAAATTCATCTGTCCGGGAAAATATTTTTCTTTTTTGCATGTTTTACTTCAAATGAGGGAAATTTTTCTGGTCAGTTCTTGATTATTGCCATATTGCAAAATTTTTAAAAACAATGAGGACCTACCTAGCTTTCATACCTAATAATTTTAGTTTAACTAAATAAAAGTTTTTAAATTTATATTTTAATGTGCTTTTTTTTTTTTTTTTTTTATATACCAAATTAAACGTGGAACTTTCATGAACAAAATCAATATTTGCTAAAATCTTGAGCAGCTTGAAAAATGAAAAACTTCAGTTTTTGTCACTATGATCACTTGTTTTGTTTGATAGTCTAAAAAGAAAGATATACATACATTGAGCTTCACAAATTTTGATCTTGTAATATAAGAAAGTATTTTTTCTTGACAACTTCATTGTACAAATGCTATGTACAATATTTATAAATGATTATAGTAAATAGCCACAGGTTTTCCAAATGCTTGATTACATATAATACCAAGCCTAAAACTTCTTATGTTCATAATATAAAATTTATGAATTGATTTGTAATTTGTGCCTCAATCCTATAAAAAACACTGGTTAAAAAATATGTATTATTACAATACATACATTCAACGTTGTGTAAGAATTGCTTCTATACATTTCTGCAATATAGCAACATCTAAGTATTGACCTTTCTCACATTTTTGTCATTTATTGATATTGCAGCAGCAGTGATATGTAGCAGCAGATATCTGCTTGATTAATAACAAAATGCACATTAGTTTTAAGAAAAGTTATCTTTCAAAGAAGGCAGAAGGGAAGAATTTTTATTAAGAATAAAAAGAAAAATTAATTAAAAAAATATAATGAAGAAAAAGAAAATCTCCATTACATTTTATATTTTGTGGTCTTTTTAGGAGGAGGGAAATAAGTTGAGAGCAAAGAATAATCGATCCAAGATTTGTCTGCTCTACTTCAATAGGCTCACCATCCTGATATGAAGCCAACCTCAAAAATCAAACAGCTGCGGGCAATGATCTGCAAGCAACATGGAATGGTGGTTAAAAAATAAAAAATAAAGACTTTTCTTGTTTCCAGACCCTCACTGATGAATCTACAATTTTTTTTTTTTTCAGGTTATGCAGTCACAGCAAAGCATCAACATTCTGCACCTGATGATAATCTCCAAGAGAAATGCTGGCATTCCGCTTATCTTCAGTACATTGGGGAGGAGAGGGGATTGTGTATGTATTCTGCATGGGTGGAAGTGGTGAGTTTATTTGGCCTTTATGGAATCTGATGAGATGGAAGAAATCTTCTCCTCGCAGCAGGAAGTCTTTTCAAAATGTTCAGTTTTCATTTCATTTCCACTTGTTTGATGACCGTTCACTTTAACTGTGACTGTTCCAATAGACTGCATATTTTTCAGACCACTCAGGTCATGGGTGAGCAAAACAGAGTCCCAGCCACAAGATAACAGTTTGTGGCCATGGTTCCAGCACAGGCCTTGAACAAAATCTTGATGTGCTGTGTTTTTGTAACTGTAAATATACAAGAAATAATAGTCAGAATAAAACTGTCACAATTTCATATGTAATAAAACTTTTCTTTTTTTTAACAGGTGCCCAGTGTTGCTAGAACTAATTTTGTTTAAAAAGATAAACATTTTATTTGCATAGATTATTAAAATGACTAAAAGAAGTAACCACTCATAAATTTACTACCTTAAATTTATTTACCCCCTCTTCAAACTAGTGTGACACGAATTATATAAATAAATCCACAATGGTAATTATAATATAGCAATGGTTACTTTGAAGTCACTGAATTTCTGGAGAAACAATGTGGTCAGTTTTTATTTATTTATTCCCAGCTACAAAATAACACAAGGAATACTTTCTTTGAATTATTAAAAAAAAAAAAAAAAAAAAGTAATGGATAGTGGCCCGGAATGAGGAATCGGAGAGCAGAGTTCAAATTCCATTCAAATCCATTACATCCACTCACATGCTAATACCCTTGGGAAAGGTATGGATCCTCCTCTTCTCCCACCCAGCCATGGGTAATTAGCAGGAAAAAACCAGGTTCTATAACCTTCGATGACAACTGGTCTACCGCAGAAAGAAATGGCAACCTACTGTGGGGAAAAAAATCTGCCTCGTCAGTCATGTATTGAAAGATACATGATCACCTAAGCACGTATCACGCATGACACATAAATGAACTAAATTGTAGCAAATAAAATAAGTGATTATGATATCAGCAGATACAGGGAGAGGTAGAAGGAATTTTTTTAAGATCTGCTGAACATAAAGTGTTGATAAATTTAAAACTGAATTTTGATCTTAAAATTTGTCAATTTGCAGTGTTTACAGTAATTATGAATAACAGAGGAAATAATTTCTGTTTGAATATCTGGAATGAGTTATTTACAAACAGACTAAATGTCCTCATCTTTGCTGTTATCAACAACATTTCGGCTGTTGTGCCTCCCAGCCTTCTTTAAGGGCCTGTCATTCTGAGTAACCTTCAGGGAATTTTGAACTGAAACCATTATTTAATCTATGAAGGTAGATTGTTCTCATCCTGTTGACCATGTCTAGGGATATCTCAACTAGTTCTTGTTTAGTACTGTTCAGTTATTGCTAGTCCTGCTTATACTAAGTTTGTATCTGTACTAACCCAGACCAAGGATTGAACTTACAATTACTATATGCCATCAATTAAAAAAAAAAAAAATTGGATGCTTTAATCCTCCAGGCTATTACGAGTTCAATCCCTAGGCTGGTTAGTACAAGTTCAGATTCAACAGAAACAGGATGAGCAATGATGGAGCAGTACTAAAATGAACAAGATATCTGGAGTAACTCGGATTAATAAATAACCCCTGAAGAAGGCCAGACAGCACAAGGGTTAAAATGTTGTGATAACAAAAATGAACATGTCTGTATGTAAATAAGTACAGAAAAAATTTTTAAAACTTTCTAACATCCTTTTCATTTCAACAGGGATTGCTCCATTTTTCACCCAATGACACTATCACTTGATAAAGAGTATATTCAAATTTCATGCTGTATATAATAAAATTTTGCAAGAAAAAGGCCACTTTTATATATTTATATTCTGTGGGTAAATAAATAAAAACAAACACACACACACACACACACACACTATGTGTGTTTCCATTATGATGAACTCCAATTCCACCTCCACTCAAGAGAAACACATGCAAATTTGCTCACCAATGCTAACAGAAGTAGGGATCATGAAACCCTTGCTTAAGAATTAACAGAAGATTCTGACAAAGCTATAAACTTCATCTATAAGTTATAATTTTCTTTGTATAACTTTGAAATTGCTGAAACTAGACATACAATGTTAAGAATTTAGAAGCTTGAACAATGATCAGAAATTAGTTGTAGCCAATAAAACAAATGAGAAGTTCAGTGATCACCATCACACCAATATACTATACCGAGATGAGTATTGATTGGTTGGCTCTGATTAAAGAATTGGAGAATTTCTTTGATGTCACTAATTTGGGGTCAAGTTAATTAGAAAAGCTTTTATGTATTAAAGCAACACAAAAGAAATAATCACTTGAATCCAAGCTTGATTGTATTTTGCAACACAAAAGCTAAGTATAGCCTTCAAGTAAGGTTCCAAGGCCACTCCTGTCTCAAAGATAGTGAAATATAGTGATAATATCAAAACCTAGGCATACCCCAAAATTTTCATTGGAATATCAATACCCCATTTTAAAACTTAAATAAAATTATACAATTATTAATAGAATATACAGTTATTAATTAAAGGTAATTGCTAGAACTTCAAAACCTTGACTGATAGTTTTAGTCAATTGATAATTTGCTACTCAATCAATGAGCATAATTACTCCTTTGAAATTGTAAAATATATTTCAAAAGGAATAGTTTTGCTCATTGATTGTTGAAATCAAATTCCTCTTTTCTCCCCCCCCCCCAAATCAAATGTTCTTAGTGAGGTGGGAGTTTTATTCTTTCTGTCATCAAATAGGATTATTAATTCACCCCTGAAGATGATCTTCACTGAGATTGAAAGTACTTGGGAAAATAAAAGAAATATCCAAAACCACGGCTTCTTTCTTACTCAGTTTTGTAACAACACCAAGAAATTGATCCATGAAGTTGAAAGGATATGGTAATTTAATTTATTGCCCCTCATCTTCTCAAAAAGCTCAATGCATTTTTCTTACACACATAGCTTTGTTTCCCATTACAACCTGAAGAAGCAAACACCAACAGATGTCAGCAAAATCTGACATTTATAATCTTTTCCGCTTTCTCTCGTCTCCAATTTTATTTTGAATACTATTATACATACTATTATACATCCTACAAACAGACAATTCAAAATCCATGCATCATGATTTTGTTTTTCATATGAAAACAAATTCCATGACATTAGTTCAAAGATCCATTATAGCAAAAACTGACATCATTTCAAATTTATAATCAAGTTGAAGAAATAAAGAGAATAGTTTAGAAGTGTTATTGTGTAGATGGTAAAAAAATGGTTAAAAGCACACCAAACAAAAAAAACCCAGAAATTTAGAATAGATCAGTTGCTGAAAGTGTAGCTAATAAATTAAAAAGAAAAAAAAATCATTTACATGTGAAGCAATTGAAACTAACTTACAAGGATTCTGTTTATCCTTTATGAATAATAAAATAAAAAATTGTATATATTTATTTTCAAACAATTATTTAAATAGATGGTTCAAAATGAAACCATATATTTCCAATTTGTCTTGTCCCTATATAAGCAAATCTCATATACATTTGGAAAGGGGTATTTATTTGAAATTAAAAAGAGATTTATCCCTATTATGTAGTTTGGGGAGGGGCATATGGTAGGGATTTCAAGTGGCCTGCCTGCCAACAAATCCTAGGATATTATCCTTATGTGGCCCTTGAATAATTTTTCTTTATTGTAAATGTTTCATGTGACTGCATTGATGTATCATTTTCACACTGATTCCAAGTTCTGTTTGGACTTAAAGCAAAGTGTAAAAAGATGTATCTGAATGGATAATTCACATATTTCAAAACCTTTTTACATCCAATGGTCCACTCAATAATACCCAAACTAACACAGAAAAAAAATAAAGAAAGAGAGAGTCTCTTGATCTAAAATTTTAAATACTTCTTACAAACTTTGCAGTAATACAAGTCAACAAATCTCACTTCTTTATATAAATGTTTTACAATTTTTATGTATTGGCAAAAAAAAAAAAAAAAAAAAAAAAAAGAAAAAAGGAGAAGAAAAGGAGAAGAAAAGAAAAAGAAAAGGTCATTAATGACCAAGTAATTGTTCAAATCTAAAATTGAATAGTGCCTTTTCCAACTGACTCAGTAGATAAACCATTTAATCTTGTGATATATTTTTCTTTTATAAAACTATCTCTTATGACTTATAATTAAGATGTTTAACCTATTCAATTTAAAATTGAATCTTAGACAATATCTCTAAATCCTTTGCTACAGGAATGAACTATTAAGTTTGTGTTTGTTATTTACAGATTCCTAATTAAGCCTAATTATCAGTTGACCTTAATAGTTCCATAATAGAATCCTGCAGAAAACAGTATTATAATGATTGTTGCTACTAGTACTAATATTTCACTGAGGTGACTATCATGTAGAGATTTCAATCCACAGTTCAATGCTCCACTTTTAAAACAAGGAGTGGAGAGGGAAAAAAAAGAAGAGGAGAGAAAAAGAGCAAAGAAAACAACTGGCAGGGGTTATCTCATGTTAATAATTCTAACGTTTCACATAGTCTTCTCCCAGACACAGTCCTAAAATAAATAAATAAAAATTAAGATAGAAAAGAAAAGAAAAGAAAAAAAAAAGCACATGCACAACCACACATACATATTATATATGGTTGTAAATCCTCTAAGAAAGTAGGACACTTAAGCTGTTGGATTACCAAGGGTTTTATTTGGTTATGTCAAGTCAGCCCAAAAAGCTAACAGACACAAAACGAGGTGTGTGTGCATGCATGTGTGTGGAGGGGGCTCATGTTACATGATACTTACATTTGTTCTATGTTGTCCCCAGAAAGGCAACCAACTACAACACTGCAATCTTCAGAAGCAGAAGCTAAAATGTTTGAGCTGGAAAAGAAAGAAAATTAAAATTACATTAAAACATCAGAGAAAATTTAATAAATTTCCAATTATTACAGTTTCCCTTTTTCTCTCCTACTTTCACTTCATGTTTACTGAATTTTCAATTCCATATTTTGATAATTTCTCAAAATTTACATTGCTTTGATAAGTTGAACAAGAACTTGTCAAAACACATACAAATACAGAGGAGGGTTGGGGGATATTAAAATCTTTTCAAATTGACCCACTTCTTAAAACCAAAATATCAGAATTTTAAAGAGCAAGTTAGCAAGTTCTTGGTTAGGTGAAGAACTTTTCAGAATGCTCCTCATTTCATTTTCATATATAAAATTATTTAATACATTTTTTTCTTTATTGTAACCAATAACATTAGAGATGGTGAAAGTACTCAACCAAAAACATTATGACCTTTGGAGTTTCTTTATAAATTTGATCTGGATATGCAATTTTCTTTTCAAAACACTTACATTTCATGCCATCTATATATCTACTCTACAAGAATGGTTGATGTACTCTTATCAAAAATGTATGGATTGATTTCCCCAGAATTAATTTCTTCACTGGTCAAATTTCTCAAGAATGGAGTTCTAAACAATTGCATGAATTTTATATCATTCTTCAAATTGAAAAAAATATTAAATGATTACTGCACAAATGTTAATATCAGATCTAATAACAACTTTGGATCAAGGAGGCAAGATGGAGAACATGATTTTATGGCACATTAACATTTGTATAATGGTCAGATTCAATCAAGCAAGTTTCAATTAAATTTTCAGTTTTTAATGACAGTACTTTTGAGACTTTGAATTGTAATTTCCTCAGCAAACAAAGAAAAGTTAACACATGTCGTGAAATAAATTGGTAAAGGTAGCAGAAGAAAAAGGTAAAAGAGAATTGCTGAATTAATCTTAACAGGAGCAATTCCAAAATATCTAGTGTTGAGGAACAGAATTCTTCTGCTAATCCATTTTAATTCATCACATGATTCATTAACAATTTGCATCAACAAAATCCATAATAAATGACCAGTCAAATCTGAAAACTAGAGTACTGGGAAGAATATTTTCCAAACTTGAAATGAATATCACCAAATTAATGCTTAATTATTTTCTTCTAACATATACTCGTTTTGTCAGTGGCAGTTTTAATCTCAAAATTAATTACATTGTAATATAGTTTAGAAATAACACCTGCCTTCCACAAAAAGACATTATCAAGAGATTAAGTTACAACCATCAATTAATATACCTCTTGTAGTAGTGCAAAATCACATCTATGTACTGGATTTTGTAGCAGAAACTGTCTTCAAGATTACTCTCAAGTAAACAAATAGCCTTCAGTCTGGTGAGTATTTCAAATCAAATTTGTCTGGAAATGTTGCATTGACCTGAGAAAATTTTCAAACTTTGTGCATTGGTGGCACTTATTCAAAATATAACACTTTTGAAACATAAGTTTGTAAACCAAAATAAACATATAATTCAAAATGTCTAGAAAAAGAAATGTTTCAATGAAAAATTTAGTTAACTGAAAAAAGAACAGGAAATTACTCATATATTGCAACACACCAGTTAGAAAAGCTTTGATGTAACATGAAGAAGTGGTAGTTGATCTTGTTACAAATATAATTCGCTTTTCATTAACAGCTATTGTAATATTGCAAAAGGTCCATGGAATAGCCAGTGATCATTTGTCTTTGTAGTAGCGATGCTGAAAATACAAACCAGGATTTTGAAGCTTGGAGTGAAGAGTTTTCATTTTCTTCATTTGTGGAATGAAGAAAAATGAGAGATTGAATAAGAAATTAATTTTTCTTTTTTCCTTTCTTCAGTCAAACAAGAAACTTGTTCTGTTTGTTCACCTCTGATTCTACATGAATGTTTCAAGACAACACTCTTTGCTGGACTGGTATTGCTTAGCTGGTAGCCTTTTATATTTTCATGGTCAAAGTCCTTAAGTCACATGACTAGATTATGCACCTTGTCCTCATTCAAGGACACATCGACATATGTCCCATGGAACATGGTGATATGGGGACTTCCTATAGCCCAAATTCTATTACTGAATATATTACAGAAAATAATTCCTCGTGATAAAATTGATCTTTGAAATATAAATTATCTGCTTATATGTTCAATACATTTTTTGTATCATGTCTTAAGGGTTTAAAAAAATTCAACATGAATGGCCAAAGAATCATGCCAGGTTTTCCTTGAAATTATGATTCAAATGACTGCGTCATAATATATTGTCACACCCTTAAGAACCTAACAGAGCATTATATATTATATATATATATATATATATATATATATATATATATATATATATATATATAAAGTGGACAAAAGTACGACAATTATTTTAAGACATTTATACATTCTTTTTTATAGATACGAATATTTAAGTAAATTCTCTGTTTATAATAAACTGTATTAAACAACATTTACCGGCCTGAATGTCCAAGAAATCTTCATAGAAAATATTTGTCCTCTGAAGGGGAATCGAACTTGTATCCTATACGGAACCGTCATATAGCCTGACATACCTTAACCAATTGGGCCACAGAGGAGCGTTTGGTAAGCAAGGTTGATTTTACTGTCTTTAAACTACGATCTTCCACGATTCTCTCATATACATTCATATCTGCTCATGGCGTATCCAAATGTAAACAAATGACATCACAAATGAAATGGACTTTTCCATTTTAGTGTATATATTATATTTTATCCTTCATATTTTTGCTAATCAAGTTTCCGGTCTTGTGACCTTCTTCAGGTAAATTAAAGGAATCAATTTTTAAAGGAATAAAATTTCCTTATGTTCTTTTAATGTTTCATTGTTCATTTTCTGTATTTGTAGTCAACCTTGATCTCATTTTCTGACTGTTCGACAGTCCGAAAAATGAGATCAAGTTTGGGCAGTTTAGAAATTTTGGTTTCAGTATCAATCCACCCGCCCCTGATACCTCGGTTTTCAGTTCAGTTTTGGTTTTTAATTTAGTATTTTTTCAAAGTCATTCATTCTTTTGTGTGATGATTATTAGTTGAATTATGCCACTATTTCAATAATGATGGGGTCAACTTTTTTTTCAAGTTTTTGTTCTATAAAGAAAAATTTGGTGTAGTTTCAATGTTTAGATGAAAAAAAAAAAAAAATTTCCGGTTAGACTGCCCATCTTGTATACATATATATATATATATATATATATATATATATATATATATATATATATATATATATATATACACACACATATATATATATATATATATATATATTTTTTGTGTGTATTTAGGCAGCATTTTTCTTTGATGCATGTTTCATTAAATAATATAGACAAGTTTTGTCTATTTATTTTATGTAAATTCTTTTATTTCAGTTTGCCTTTTCACAAGGCTACATTTATAATTCCAAGTGTTGATAGTTTGGTGGGCTGCTGGATCTCATACACAAAGATAAATTCATACAATAACTGCTCCAACAGCAACTCTGGATGCAGGCACAGTTTCAGGGTGTCATAGCATCATTATCACTATTTCAGAACAACCCAGCAATACCTTGTGATAGCACCAGGGATTAGTTGGTTTCAGGAATACTAATTGGAAGCAGATGCAATCTCAGTTCCAATCTTGAAGCCAACCTCTTGATGCCAATCAAATATCCCAAAGCTAGTGTGAGAATGACACTCCACAGGATTTGGCTACAACAGGATAAACATTTGTTGTAAAGCCAAAATTTCTATATGCCTTTTATAAATCAGACACAAAAAGTGATTAGCAACAATAAATAATAATAGAACAATATAATGTAATGTTAGGTAATGGATAAAAGACTTGTTAACAACAACCTCATTCATTTTGAAATCCAGGTCTGCTAAAGCTGTAAAGTGTTTTGTCAGACCTGAATTGTTAGCATTATCACTTTTATCTTGGGACCATTATTAAGTTAAGTTTAAGAATTATTTATTTCTGAGGCTGACAAAGGTTAACTAAAAGCATAGATGCTCAACCAACCCTATAAATTGAAAAGAAAAATCTGATAAAAATATGTATAAAAATAAAATAAGAAAATTTCATTATATGTACATATTTATGATAATGCAAGTAGCACACAAGTGAATTAATCAGATTGAGAAAAGATAAAGACAAGCAGTTTCATATCTAACTGCAATGATAAAATCTTGAATCATCCAACATTGGCTTTCCAAAATGAACTTCTCAGATAATCCAAACAAGTTGGGGCAAGAAAATTTATCTAAATATGGTGACATTACAAATTTACTTTGTGTCATTCTTTAGATAAAAAAAAGTAGACTTTTGATTATATAAGATGACGTGCATGTGTGTAACATAAGTTTTTAGTGTGAGAAGTGGAATTGGTATGTCAAATTCAATTTCCAGCCAAGATCATTATGTTCACTATATATCTCTACTCTCCCTAGCTATTGGTTAAATAGTAAGACAGACTATTCGGCAATCAATTTACAAGAACAACTCTGAATTCAAAGTCAGTTGGGTGTAAGGCTAGCAACTACACCCCATAAAAAAAAAAAAAAAAAAAAAAAAAAAAAATGGAAAAGCCTGCTTACTACATTATAAATCACAGCAGCAATATCTATAAGAGAACCTGATCATTTTTCTCTTGAAACTATTACTGAGAAAAAAAAAAAAGTGTTTACAAATTGCAATTTTATATTATTTTTTAATTCTCAGTTTTCTTCCATACATTTTTTAATAGAATCAATTTAGATATCAGATATTGCAGCAGAGTTTATAATTTGATCATCAGAAAAGCAATCTGTCTACTGGCAGTTTGAAGATGGAGAAAATAAGCTGTTTTAGATTTCCCTTACTTTTTAATCTTATTTTATTTGACTTTTTTTCTTTTCATTAGATGAATTGGTTATGACTTTATAAAAGGAAAATATGGGATTAAAATGAGTAAATCATTTTAAAATAAGATTTTTTTTGCCTTAAAGG